ATTACGAATTAATTAAATACTGCGCATGTAACACGAATTCATACAATTAATTAAATCATTCGGAATAAATATAAATAGTATACAAATAAATAATTAATGAAAGAAATAATAAATAAATAAATAATAAATACTAAAAATAAATAATAGATAAATAAAATATCAAATAAATAATAAAAATAAGACTAATAATATAAATAAAATAATGACGGGGTTACTACTGATTTTCGGGGTTATCGAACAGCGAATTAAGGTCCAATTCATGTTCTGGTGACAATATCAAACAAAATCTGAACCATTCTTTCCTCCTAACACCAAAGCACAAATGCGATTTCAGGGCCACCAACCCTGTTCTGAATTGTAACCTCCTGAGCTTGAAACGAGTTGCAGATTCTCTTAATATTTCTGCAGAGTTGCGACTTGGTCACAGAGCCATCTTTACCCTAGAGGCAGGCAACTTTTCGGCTAACATGGCAGCCTTCTCTGGTCTGGTGCTGTGAAGATTAGTGAAAAGCATCATTGATGATTGATGCAGCCTTGATAAACTCCAGGGCCATACACCCCCCTGAAAATTTAGTTGCATCATCATATCATTGGAGAGACACGGTCAGATTAGCCTTGTGTACACAAGGAAGGTGAGAATGACTGTAATGTTCAAGGTAGCGTGTGTGCTTCAACGCCTGCCAATTTCCAATAATCAAACATTGCATATCAAAATGTGAATTGTTTCATATTTGAATTATTTCAGTCATACTGCCTTGACATCTTGTAGTTAAATTATAATAATATTATTATTATTAACGATTATGAAAAGCAAAATACCAATCGTTCATTTGTTATCATCTTGATAAAGATCTTATAATTACCCAGCAAGATTTGCTCTGCGTTTTGATTTCAATTAAAAATAAAAGACACATATCAATACAAATAAAAAATAGTACCTCTATTATTAACACATCTTCTTTAGAGCCAAACCATACCAAACAACATCACTCGCGTTTCCTCACCTTTGTCAAAAAATAAGATTGTTTTTCCAAAAAAAAAAATCAATTCGCGTCTGTCCCAAAAACAAAATCCTTGTGCAACACTAAGTACCAATAATAATAATAATTTATTTTGTTTGTGTTTCTTTTTAACAAGATTCTTTTCATATTAAGAATATTAAGATAAACTTTCTATTGGTGGGTTTTCCATAATGCCAAAAAAGCAGCAACAAAAAAAAGGTAGAAAAGAAGAAAGATGGGAAGAGGTCACTAGGTAAGTGTTTATCAAAAGAATGGTGTTATCGCCACCACTCATTGTCACTCTAATTATATATATAATTGGAAAAAGTTATTTAAACTAATTTATTTTTAAAAATGTCAGAAGAAAATTTGGTGATCAAATAAAAAATGAGTAAGTATTGTTAGCTTAAGACTATTCTAGTCATTAAAAAAAAATAGTGGATATTGTTGATCCACAAGAACCAACACTTGTTTGTCTTTTGTTGTTTATGTGATGCATTATATCGGATACATGAAAAAGATTTAATCCATTGTGATTTACATAGTGGTAATATACTTGTGCAAGGAGGTAATTGTTTTATTACAGATTTGGGATTGTGTGAGTTCAGGAATAAACGCAAAATCATCGAGATTGACCAAAAAACTACCTCGCAACGCTCCATTAAGATGAATCCACAAGGGAGAAAGAGAGAACGAGAAGAGAATAAACATGGGTAAGTATTGTTATCATAGAGAGATTCATGAGCTTTTCTATAAAAGTATTAATTTTATATTTTCTTGTATTTTCATTTGTTCTAATACTAGCAATGAAAAAAAATTAGACTGAAAATAGTGATGGCGATGATGGTAATGATTTAGTTAATGATTTAAAAATCTTATACAAAAAGACGTTAAATTCAATGCAACTAAAACCAGAAGAACTTTTTAAAATACTTCAACCAATATATAAGGTATTTCCATTATTTTATTTTGGTAACAAAAGTTTGCTATATCATAATCTAATTTTTTTAAAAAATTATTTTCAAGGAAAATTATGATGAAGAAATGGGAAAGAGAGAAGAAGTGGAAAAGGGAGAAGAAGTGGAAAAGGAAGAAATGGAAAAGGGAGAAGAAATGGAAAAGGGAGAAGAAATGGAAAAGGGAGAAGAAGTGGCGGAAGTTACTACTACTATTCAAACATCTGTAAATTTTAATATGTAAAGTTGTAATATTTGCATAAAAATTATGTAATATTTACACTCGATGTAATAATTGCATAATTTTTGTATGCTTATTTGCATAATATTACGGGCCCACCATAAACTTACATAAATAGTGTAATAATTATGTAAATCTGCATCAGAAAATTTTCCTGATGAACTTATGTTTGAACCTCAAAATTTACAAATATAAAAAAATTTTAAACATTAATAAGAAAATAAAAAATTTTTGTATGGGTGACAGCTTCACACAATGTCATTCTGGGGGTTTTGAGACAAAACCTGCCATGGTGCAATTCATGTGCCTAGCTGCTCTGGAAGCCAAAAGAGATATCAGTTTTTTCAAAAGTGGCAAAATTTCTTTTTTAGGCCGCATTTTTTGGTTAGATTTTGCTCCTAAGCGGCCAATTTTTAATTTTTGGCCACCTTTGAGAGCAGCCATTTTTGATTTTTAGGCCGCATTTTTACCTCATTTTAGTTCGATTTTTTATTTACATATCAGAAAACGTCTGTAGACATTATAGACTGCTTAATTATATAACTATCTTTTTTAGCTGTTTTATTGTCTTCAAAGCTTAAAAGGCTATGCGATCTAAAAAATCTAACCAAAATGTGGCCATTTTTTATTTTTAGGCCACATTTTTGTCCTAAAAAATCTAACCAAAAAAAAATCTAACCAAAAAATCTAACGAAATTTTATGAAATCATTTTTTAGCCACTTTTTTATCCTAAAAAATCTAACAAAATTTATTTTGTTTATCAAGAACATGCTCTGAGCCGTTTTTTTCCATTTTTTTCCAAGGACAATTTTTTCAGGAAAATGCTTAAAAAATCTAACCAAAAATATAACGAAATTTTTTAGTCATGCTAGCTATGCTAATTTTTAGCCACCCAGATAACAAAAAAAATTTAATGAAAATTATGACCCATCAGAAATAATTAATTAAAAAGAAAAAAATATATATATATAACCAAATAATAGTTATTTGGTTAGACTTATTACAATAAAAATGTCCGATGCATACCCAGAATACATTGAAGAATTGAGTATTGAAATTTCGGATTTCGATCCTATTAGCCCTACATGCCATATACCTCTACCTGACACCATGCCAAAACGAAATAACGGTGTTGTAAATATGCAGAATAATGATGAGTGGTGCTTTGGATGGTGCGTACTTGGAGCCTTGCACCCAGTTAAATTCCATCCAGAAAGAAATCCGCACCGGATATATGCTGATTATATAGATGAATTAAATATGGAGGGCATTCCAGTTCCTGTACCAGTCTCAACGCCAGTATACCAAAAATTCGAAGAAAATAATCCTGAAATTAGTCTTTGCGTGTATAAATGGTCCAATGAAAATAAACGTCTTGAGTTCCAGTATATATCAGAAAGGAGAAAGAAAAATTACAAAGAGGTTAATCTTCTGGTTATCTCAGAGCCAGATGAAATAGAAAATCCGCGCTCACATTATTGTATTATTAAAGATATCCATAGACTGGTTTATAACCATAGTAAGCACAAAGAGCGGAAATACCTTTGCCGATATTGCCTTTATGTTTATTCTGATGAAAAAGGGTTTAATAAACATGAATGTTCAGGAATAAATGGCGCGCCACAAGAGCCAAAAGTTCCAAAATTAGAAAAGAGCACCAAGGCATTCTATAACCATAAATGCATGCAAGCCAATCCTTACCGAATATTTTGGGACCTCGAATGCTTAACTACAAAGCTAACCCCGGAAGAGAAGGCCCAATTAACTCGTACTGAAAAAATTCAGCGACATATGCCCTGTGGATATAGTTATGTGGTTGTCCGCATGGACAGTTTCCTCAATTATGAAGTTATAAGCCACGATTTGTATAGAGGGCCTAATGCATTAGAAAAATTCGTAGATAAATTGGAAATAGAGCTAGCAGAAATTCAAAAAGAT